ATCAAAAGAAGAAGAATATAAATCTTTTGCCAAAATTGTCTATGAATTGGGAGAAAATGATTCCTATTTCATTTCATCAGGATATTTTGTTTACCCAAGACTAATAATTACCAAAGACGCAGACCCCCTTACAGTAAAAATGGTAGCAGATTATGGATTTATGGATCTAATCTATCCAGGAAAAGACTTAAAAGAGATCGAAAAATTTGATGATATATTTAAATCAGAAGTCGCAAAATTTGCCCAGGGAAGATCGATATATATCAAATTTTATTCAATTAGTCTAGAGGTTGATGGAAGGATATACTATCCTGCAGAACATATTATCACAATCGGATATGTAGGCTGAGATTTCCAAATTGAAGTCAATCAGAATAATAAACCATTACCAAAAATTACAAGATCATGAATTAAATCCCGAAGAATTTTGGGAATGAAGGTCCTTTACAACATGACAAAAAACTTATATGAAAAGAAGTTCAGATGTCTATGCCAATATGAAGGATGTACACTCTTAACAAATAATGGAAAAGAAAAGTCTACAATTTTGAAGGAATACATCCAAAAGTTTGACACTCATCAAATTAATGGAAGTGCTACAACAATCCAGGAGGCATGCAGATTGAGGGAATGCCCCACATGCTGACATAATTAAAAGAAAGTTACAAAAGATTCCAAGAAAATATGATGATAAAGTTGGGAGGTCCTACCACTACCAAAGAATCTTGCCAGGTGCATATCAACATGACAATAATAGAAGGGTAGTGCCCTTGATAAAGAAGATGTGATATAAAGTTGATTGTTATATACAATAATGGAACCACAATAATGTAGTGGTTAGACTTTTGAAAAAATAAAACTCTATAATTAGAGTACGATGTAAGCAATGATGTTAGAGGCCTGATAATTAAGCCTCACGTAGTTGTATAAATGGAGGCATTCGGGCTAGATGTAAGGCAGAGTTGATTGAGCACTCAAATTGTGAGATGGCCAAACTTTTCTATCTTTCCTTACCGATCATATATCAATCTCAAATATATCAATAATATTCGAATTTTTTGAGAAAAATATGAGTTTCTAAACCACTTATCCCATAGATTCTGGAAAAATTAAGGGAAAATTTTCTTTCTTACTTTAACAAAAGGAGAGTTTTCTTTATTAAAGATCTATAGTTTTAATTCTTAGAAAAGATACAGCGAGAGCAAAACTGGAATAGCAAAGATCCCGTGAAGGCAGGAGGCCGTTGAAGGGAGTGGTCTGCAAATTCAGAAGCTTGAAGGTCACTCTGATCTAAGAATAAAAGCCTAAGATCAAAACAAAGGTAAAACTATTAGTTTTGTTAAATTTGGAAAGAATTTTACTTAGATCTTAAAAGAATCTCAGGGATTATTAATATTGATGTTTGTTATGATGCATGTTTTGTTATCAGTTTGATGATTAAAATGTCAGGATATATTATAGAACGATTAGATAAATTATTAGACAAAATGTTTGAGAAAATAAAAAATATCAGAGACCTAAAAGAAAATATGGATATATTATCTGAAGAATATGAGAAACTTAATAAAGAACATGATAAATATGTTACAGATTACTCTAATTTGTTAGATTATATAATAGAACTATATATTAAAATTAGAAATAAAAGAAATATAAGATATGACTAATTTTCAAACCCATAATAAAAAGAAGGATATATTATGCAAAATCATAGAATTCATTTCATTAAGGGTAATACAGATTTTTTATCTTGTTTTATAAAAAGGCCAATTGACCAGGCCAATTAGAAAAATCTCCCTATAAATTAGGGAAAATTGCAGTTACGGTACCAAACTTTTCAAATTTTTGCAGACTTTGCCCAAACCTTTATTTTGTGCCACCCACGGTANTGATGCTAGGAAAATATGTCCTGGTTTAACCAAGCTGGTCCCACCCCAAAAAAGTGACGCCACGTGTCGCTTACATGTACTAACCCGTAACAAGGATAACAAATTTCTTTTGCCAATTATATTCCAAATTAGTTCATTTACAAAGTGGAAGGGAGTGGAAACAAGATCAGTGTAGACTGCCTCTGATAAATATTAGGGAAAATTACAGCCCTGGTACCAAACATTTCACCTTTTTGCAGACTTTGTCCAAACCTTTGTTTTGTGTCACCTACGGTACCAAACCTTTAAACAATTCGCACCCGGAGTCCAAATGAAGGGTTTCCGTCCAGTTGACCGTTAGTTGACCAAAAAAGTCAAAATTGACCAAATTCATTGAGGACAAAATGGTAATTTTGTTTTTTACATTTAAAATGATTATAAAGAAAAGAAATAAAAAGGTTAGCCACCCCTAC